TGCAACTGGATTCCAGGAGTTCGGCTCAGTGTTCAGCTGTGAGTGTCTGCTTCCCAGTTTTACTGATCCTCTCAGCCTACAGATCAGGATACAGCTATCAGCTACTGCTACAGCGCCATGTGTGCCCCACCATGATTATAATGGATTAAAGGGCTGAAGCTGTAAGTCGGCCCTCAGTTAAATGCCTTCTTTTATAAGAGTTGCCTTGGGATTCCTCTAAAATCAGGAACAAGACAAGGATGTCCACTCTCTCCATATCTCTTCAATATTGTACGTGAAGTTCTAGCTAGAGCAACAAAAGGAGATCAAGGGAATACGAACTGAAAAGGAAGAAGTCTTTATTTGCAGATGCTATGCTAGTCTATGTAAGTGAACCAAAGAATTCTGCCAGGAAACTCGTACAGCTGATAAACACTTTCAGCAAAGGGGCAGGATACAAAATTAACACCAAAAAATCAGTAGCCCTACTATATATAGACAATAAAGGGGAAGAGAAAGAATTCAGATCTTTGACAAAGAAGCTAAAACTATACAATGGAAAAAAGAAAGCATCTTCAACAAATTGTGCTGGGGTAACTGGATGTTGGCATGCAAAAGACAACAGATAGATCCATATCTATCACCAAGCACAAAACTTAAGTCCAAATGGATCAAAGACCTCAACATCAATCCAGCCACACTGAATCTCTTAGAGAAGAAAGTGGGAAGTACCCTTGAACAAATTGGTACAGGAGACTGCTTCCTGAACATAACTCCAGTAGCACAGACACTGAGATCGACAATTAATAAATGGGACCTCCTGAAACTGAGGAGCTTCTGTAGGGCAAAGGACAGGTAAACAAGACAAAATGACAGCCCACAGAATGGGAAAAGATATTCACAAACCCCACATAAGACAGAGGGCTTATCTCCAAAATTTACAAAGAACTAAAGAAGCAAGTCTCCAAAACACCAAAGGATCCAATTAAAAAGTGGGGTACAGAACTAAATAGAGAATTCTTAATAGAGGAGTCCAAAATGGCCAAGAGACACTTGAGAAAGTATTCAACATCCCTAGCCATCTGGGAAATGCAAATCAAAACAACTCTAAGATACCATCTCACTCCTGTCAGAATGGCCAAAATCAAAAACACTAATGGCAGTTATGTGGAGAAAGGGGTACACTCCTCCACTGTTGGTGGGAATGCCAACTTGTGCAGCCACTTTGGAGATCAGCAAGGAGATTCCTCAGAAAAATGGAAATCAGTCTACGGTAAGATCCAGCAATTCCACTCTTAGGCATATACCCAAAAGATACACCCTCATACAATAAGGTCATCTGCTCAACTATGTTCATAGCAGCATTATTTGTAATAGCCAGAACCTGGGAAGAACCTAGATGCCCCTCAACTGAAGAGTGGATAGAGAAAATGTGGTACATTTACACAGAAAAAAATGGAATCTTGAAATTTACAGGCAAATGGGTGGCACTGGAAGAAACCATCCTGAGTGAGGTAACCCAGTCACAAAACGACAAACATGGTATATACTCACTCATATATGGATTTTAGACATGGAGGAGGGCATTGCCAGCCCACAATCCCACCACCAGAGAGTCTGGGGTGCAGGGAGCACCCTAAGAGAGATATGCATGATAACCCGGAGAGAGAGAGAAGAGGAGAGGACGACATGGGAGAGCAGGAAGGTTGAGCCAGGGTAAGAATAGAGGAGAAAAGGATGAGAGATACCATAAAAGAGGGAGCCATTATAAGTTGGAGGAGAAATCTGGCATTAGTGAGATCTTCACAGATCTGCAGGAATGACACAAACTGGCATTAAGACTACCTTAAATGCCCTCCATGATGGTGAGAATGATGACTGCCTTATATGCTATCCTAGAACTCTCATCCAGTAGCTGATGGAGACAGGGGCAGACACCCACAGCTGTGAATCTAATTGAACTCCTGAAACCCACTTGCAAAGAGGAGTGATGACCAAGGGAATTGGGATCGGGCTGGCAAGGCCCACAGGAGCAGCTGACCGAAACAAGGGGGAACACATGGACCCCAGACTAATGATTGGGGGGCCAGCATGGGACTGATCCAGACATCCCTCCCACTGAACCTGGGTGACAGAGAGGAGGCCTTGGCAATCTGTGGGAACTTGGAGAGTGGAGCAGTATTTATTCCTGGCATACAGAGGGACTCTGGGAGCCCATGCCACATGGAGGGATGCTCTCTCAGCCTGGACACATGGGGAAGAACCTAGGCCATTCCTGGGATGATGTGACAGACTCTGGAACTCCCTCATGGAGGCCCTTGCCCTCCCTGGGGAGTGGAGGAGGGATGGAGTAGGGGTGAGGGATTGGGAGGAATGGGGGGTGGGGGAGGAGGGGAGGGAAAGGGAACTGAAAGTGACTTGCATAAAAAGTTAAATAAAAAAATATGGAAAAATAGAGTAGCCTTGGTCATGGTGTCTTTTCACAGCAATAGATCAGTGACTAAGACAGTATCTAAGAGAAAGATGGAGAATATGTGCGTGAAGAAGTACATGTGGAACCTTCGCTTGACTTCTTCAGTTATACCAGTTATCCTTAAGCCCAAAGACTCACTGCAAAGTTGCTAGGTGTCTTCTGTTCCTGTCATTGCATCCTTCAGCCTCATTGTACATTGGGTGTTCAGTACATGTATCTGAGCCACTTGAGAACATAGTTTATCTCTGCTGTTTGGCCTAGAGACCCATTAAGTTTAACAAATATCATCTGTATGACCATTGCTTTGGAGCTGTTCACTGAAGCCTAGCTTCCTTGATCGATACACAACTAAAGACAATGAATTCACCTTGCCCAGAATCCACTAGAAAGAAATGCCTAGTTCAGCAGGGAGGGGTAAGAAAAAGACATGAGTGTGGTAATTAACTTGGAGTGGGTGGGTGATCAAGGTGTGAGGGAGATTAGAGAGAGTGAGGTGAGGGTATGGTTGTTTAAATATGTTCTCCTTAGTCACAGGAATTTGAACATTTGATCCACAGATGCTGGCACTGTTTGGAAAATGTGAGGAGATGCAGTGTTGCTGGAGGAAGTATGTTGCTGGGTGATCAATACACACAGGAGTAAGGATTCTGAATGGTGAGGATCTAGTAAGAGAACTTGTGATTAAAGAATAAGGAAGACAAGAAATAAAGAAGACTAAAAGCAATCACTGAGACCAGGAGGTACTGAATAAGCTGATGGCTTAGGCAAAGCAAGTTTAAGAAGTATAGCATCATATATATTGTCTGGGGGTCGGGGGAATGGTTCAGAGTCAGCAGAGAGCTAAAACAGACAACGTTGGCAAAGAGAACGTAGAATGCTACAGACACAACTTCCTTAGGACCGATAATTACAGTCTAGAGCAGGATGTCAAGTCCCCAGAAATGACAACCTCAACTCTTTAGAGACACAGCCTCTAACCCTAGACCAGCCTTGCCAAGGCTGCTTCTGGACAAATACACAGAACTAATTCTTGCTTTGTCCTTTTATTGGGGCCTCTGAGAAAGCCTCGGGTAGGTCTAGCTCCCAACTACTGCAGGTTGGTTTTGAAAGTTTAAAGACTTTCCATTTCCGGTTTGTTCTTTTTGTGTTTATGGTTCAAGAGGCCATTTCTCAGCATCCTGCTCCTGTCACCATACCTACCTAATGCCTCTGCCCTGCCATTATGGACTCTCACACTTTGGAACCATAAGCCAAAATAAACTCTTCTATAAATTGTGCTTCATCAAAGCACCAGAAAAGTTGGTACCAGAGAGTTGGCTGTTGCTGTAAAGAACCTGAGAACGTTAGGATTTTTTTGAAGAAATGTGAAAGACTATGGGACATTGAACTAGAAAAGAAATTGAATTTTATAAGCAAACTTAACAGGCCATCCAAGTGCAAACCTAGAGACCTAACTCAAGAGGTTTCAGAGGGAATTGAGGAGTTTAGCTCTAACTGGAATAGACGTCATCCCTGTGATTTTTGGGCAAATTCTCTGACTTTATTCTGTCCATCTTAAGAATTTGTCTGAAGCTAAATTAAAAATAAATGGGCTAAATTTTTGGTGGAGACAATTTCAAGACAAAATAATATTGAATCTGTTGTGTGGGTGTTGTTAAATATTGTTAGGTAAGCAGAAAAAGAAGACAACAGTTAGCTTCATTCCCCCATGGTTTCCCTTCAATTCCTGTCTCCAATTCTGCTCTGCTTGGGGTCCTGACTTCCTTTCATTGTGAACTGTGATCTGGGAGTTGTAAAATGAAAAATCTTTTACTCCCCCATGTTGCCTTTGCTCATGATGCTTTATCACACAAATAGAAAGTTAACTAGGACAGCATGAACCTTTTATATGATGAGACTATCATATGTGAGAATATATTTTAATATTAGTAGTGCATATATGCATCAGCAAATTTAATCAAATGTGTATAGACGATTTATACACCATGAACTATGGGTTTGCACAGGCTTGAAAATCTTGGTCATTCAGAAACTAATACCATCCACTATATCAACAAGGAAAAAATTAAAACATACATGATGAAGGCATTCACCTAGATAAAGAAATGTCAGTTTCCTAGATGCATTAATTATAGACAATCACAGAAAAAACTAGGAACAGAGAAATTTTTCCACCTGAATAAGATAATGTACTGAGACTGAAATTAACATTATATTCAACAATAAAAACCCAAAAATCTCCTTGTAAATCAGGAAGAAGAAGGCACCAATATCCCTTCTCTCTATAGATTGTTCAGCTTTGTACTTGAAGCCCTAACTATTGCAGTAAGGTCAGTAAGAAAATTAAAGGTACATATTAGAAATATCTGTAAGTATCATTGCAGATAACACAGGAATTAATTATTTTTCAAAAATGACCCCATGGGCCAGGTGGTGCATGCCTTTCATCCCAGCACTTAGAAGGTAGAGGTAGGCAGATCTCTGTGAGTTTGAGACCAGCCTAGTGTACAAAGCAAGTTCCAGTACAGGTTCCAAAGCTACACAGAGAAACTCAATCTAAAAAAAAACAAATAATAATAATAGTAATAATAATAAATAAAAAGACTTCATGGAATGAATCAGCACTTATAACAAACTTGTCCAAGACTGATCCATTTACATGCCAGCTATTTTTATAAATACTAGCAGTAAATAATGGAATTTGAAATTTAAAAATACTGTTTCATACATCAAGTCTAAACTGAAATAAATAACATTCAGTAGTGTTATGAAGCTGTCTATAAAGTAATTAAGCAAGACCATGTGCACCACGATTGTGGGAGAAGTTATTTAATTTTTTCCAAATTTTATGAGTACCGTATTTACATAATTTCTTCCCCTTCCTCTTTCTCCTCCAACTCTGCCCATGTCGCCCCACACTCTCTCACACTCATGACCTCTTCTTCTTTAATTATCAATGGAAAATTATATTTTCAAAGCCATGCCAGCTGTACCCCACCAGAAAGTTCCTTCAAATACAGGTGTGTTGGTTGCAAGCCTCCATGTTTCAAGAAAACTACACAAAGGACATGCATTGAGAGATGAGGATTCAAGAGACAGTACTGGGTCACCACACACATTCAGATCTTGTTTTCCAATCTGGAATCTGATTGTTCGGCATTATTTTTGCTGTTTCAGCCAAGGTCTTTGTTCTCAGTAGAGGAGATGGAGGCTCGCGATCCAGGCGGGGAATGTGGTAGCGTGTAATAAAGGAAAATGAGAGAGAGGAAAAACAGAAGATGCATGAAGGTGAGGACCCAACTTTTGGGGCAGGGTTATCCCTCCCCTGAATCACTAAAGGTGGGAAGAAAGAGGGGATAGTCAGCTAAAGTATACATCTAGGTCAGTGGTTCTCCATCTTTGTAATGCTGTGACCCTGAAATACAGATCCTCGTGTTGTGGTGACCTTCAGACCATAAAATTATTTTTCTCTGCTACGTCATAACTGTAATTTTGCTACTGCTATGAGTTGTAATGTAGATGTCTGATATGCAGGATATCTGATATGCAATCCCCCCCCAAAGGGGGCTGAGAACTGCTGATGTGGGTGAAGAGGTTAACATGATTTGCTGTAGAAGACCTCTCCACCACAACACCCAGACGTTGCCGGGCGTAGGTGGAACACACCTTTAATCCCAGCATTCAGGAGGCAGAGGCAGGAGGATTTCTGTGAGTTCAAGGCCAGCCTGGTCTACAGAGTGAGTCCAGGACAGCCTCCAAAACAATACAGAGAAACCCTGTCTAGAAAAACAAACAAACAAACATGATACCCAGATGTTTCCCTGCATTCGAATCACATTTGCTCCCTGGATAGTGTCTGAAAATGGTTCTCCACCTTCTGTCCCAGAACCACCTGAGATCCTCAGATTTATTTTCATGTTTCTGCCACCTTGACAGATGCACTATTTTCTCTCCTGGCTGTGTGTCGGGCGGGTCTTCGGCTGCGCTGAGATTCAAACAGCAGAATGCCCAGGAGTACAAGGACCAAGACAGACATCCCCATCCTGATGAGATTCTCCGTTGTGTAATCCTGGGCCTGTGAGCCTGGAGGATGTATAAAAAGAGGTCCCAGAGGTCAGGGCAGATTGCTCCCCCTGGACATGACTTCATCTTCTGTATTGAGTCTTGTGACTGACAATTCTTACTTACCTGCCTTGGAGTTTGAGATGTTTGGTGATTGCTCAAGGGGCTGAACTGCTCCTAGGAGCCAAAGGGAAAAAAGAAGGCTGTGGAGGGGCTGCAGAGGTGGCGCACTGGCTTACCACGTGGCAGTGGTGGTGGTGCAGGATTTTAATCCCGGTAATCTAGAGGCAGAGACCAGTGAATCTCTGTGAGTTTGATACCAGCCTGGTCTACAAAGCAAGGTCCAGGAACTCAGAGATACCTGAGTTTTACAGGAGAAACTCTGTCAAAGAAAAGCACTGGTTGCTCTTCCAGGCGACACAAATTCAATACCCAGCACCCACATGGCAGCTCACACCGATCTGCAACTCCAGTTCCAGGGCTTCTGCCTTACATAGGCAAAACACTAATGACCATAAAATAAAAATGAGCATTATGCTTTTTAAGGAGGATGTGTGAAATACTTAAGATCCAAGTTTTTTTTTAGGTCCTCTGTTTTTATTTTCTTCCCTTCTATCTCCCTGGTACCATTATTTTAAGAGAAGGTATAGTGGAACATACCTTTAATTACAGCACTTGACAGGCAGAGGCAGGTGGGTCTCTGAGTTGAAGGCCAGCCTGGTCTATAGATCTACAGAGTGAGTTCCAGGCCAGCTGGGGTTAAGTAGTAAATCTCTCTGTCTCTGTCTCTGTCTCTGCCCCCCCTCTCTCTCTCTCTCTCTGTGTGTGTGTGTATGTGTGTGTCTGAAGAATACAAATACCATCACAGAAATCTACAAAATCTACTGATCAAAATACAGAGAACAGGTAATCATGAGGTACACACCCCTAACTGACAAGGTTGCAATACAAGGAATGTCTCAGAAGAGGGGGCAGAGAGATTTTAAGAACTAGAGGACTAAGGCACTAGGACATCTGCTGTGAGACAGTGTCTTCTATCTACAGCAAGGAGTTGCACCATGATTTTTTTAAATGTGTGGTTGTCTAAACAAGACCTGCATGATAAAACCAGTTGGCATACCAATGTGGTTGGGTGAAATCTCACAAGATTCCACACTTAGATGAGGAAGCTACAGGCAACCGATGGCTGCTGGGAGATTAAGATGCCATCTTTTCCAGGGAAGAGACCCTGGTAGGTGATCCAATCCCAAGTGGTCAGCCCTAAACACAAGCATACACACACACACACACACACACACACACACACACACACACACAGGAGCAATACTAAATATAGCACTGTATTTGTATACAGCATGTTCTATTTATATATACATACACATAACAATCATTAAAGAAAAGGTCATAAATTTGAGGAGTGAAGGATACATAAGAGGAGCTGGAGAGACAGAGAGGAAAGGGTAGAAACAGTATAAATAAATACAATTATTTGTGAAATTATTTTTAAAGATGAAATAAATGTAAAAAAATAAAGGAAACAATTTGACATTTTTGTTTATGCTTGATTTTACTGTAATGTTTTATACAATAATTTTAAAATAGCTCAAATGTCTTAGTTTTTTTAGTTTGGTTATGTGAGATAGAATCTCTTTTTGTAGCCTTGACTGTCATTAAACTTTCTAGGTAGACCAGACTGGCCTTGAACTCACAGAGATCTGTCTGCCTTTGCCTCTTGAGTCCTGGAAATAAAACTGTGCAATACCTTGCTTAGCAAGTTCAATTTTCTTAATTTAATTTCATACTCTGCTTCTCCCTCCCTGCCTCCCTCTCTGCCTCTCTCATGCATGCATTCATTCATTCCTTTCTTTCCTTCTTTCTTTCTTCCTTCCTTCTTTCTTCCTTTCTTTATTTCCTTCTTTCATCTGTCATTGTTTTCCCTTCCTTCTTTCCTTCCTTCTTTCCTTCCTTCCTTCCTTTCCTCCTTCCTTCCTTCCCATCTGTCTTATTTTCTCCTTCTTTCTTGTCTTTGGAATAGAGTCTTATGTATCCCAAGCAGGTCTTTATCTCCCCATGTAGCCTAGGATGAGTTTGAACTTCTGATCCTCCTGCTTCCATTTTACGAGTGTTGCGGTTACAGGTACCAATCATGGGTCCCCTTTTATTTATACTATTAGGATCTCCTGCATACTAGGCAATAACTCTACCAATTGAGCTACACTCTTGGCCCCATCACCTGTGTTTCTTCTCTCTTGTAAATATGCATTCATCTCAGAATGTAACTTCATGCGTGTCTGGACCAGCCCTCCCTTCTGTGGTTGGTTCTTACTGGTCTCCTTGCTGGATGCTTCAAACCCACTCTAATCTTCATGTTCAAAGTTTGCATCAAAGTCACTTTAGAACAAAGCCGCCCTGAATTTCACTAATATGTATAATTAGAGGTAGAGTTCTCCTGGGAGTGGGACAATGAGTGGACACTTGAGCACAGACAGGACAGGTAAGGGTCCTTTGACCTAAGACCTTGAGTTCCACAGGGGAGCTGTGGCATGACAACAGACAGGGTGATGAGTTTCAGCAACCACAGCATCTTTAAATATCTCCATGAGGGGAAGTCACAGCACTCATTTGGAATTCTACCCAATACTGCTGAGCCAGGAAACACTGATCTTAGTCACAGAAAAAAGGCAGCTACTCTTGCCTTGGTCAGAAGAAAAAGTGTCCATTATTTCCCATGATTGACGGGATCTCTTTCTCTCTAGGGGATATCATGGTGCCTGACTTCACTGAGAGGAAGAGTATAACAGAGAGCTAGCTGTCCTAGAAAGATGTGTAAGGGGCTGCCCATCTTGTTCTGAACCTGTCTCTAGTAACTCTGATCTCTTCCTGCTTTCCATGACTTTGCTCCGACCCCACCTCCTGGTTTTTTTTTGGTCCTGAGATTCCCATCTTTCTTCCTGCTCATCATCTCCTCATCACCTGGTGCTGTGCAGTCTTGAGTCTCTGAGTAGACCCACTCAGATCCTCAACTATAATCAGGTTGTCCATAGGGTCACTAGGTACTGGCCTCTTGAAGGAGATATTTTGGACACCACGGCATCTGTACCAGTCCCTGTGGGGGTGCTTACAGGGCCCCAGGGTAAGTTGGCCTTCAGAGACCAGCTTGGTAAAACAGGCCAGGGATGTGGGTGAGGTCATCTCTCCATCCTTTGGACAAAGAAAACCTTTCATAACCTATGTAAGAGCAACACTGGAGAGTCAGATTATCTCCAAGAGAAAGGATGAGGGCCTTGCAAAGTCAGCAGTGAGAGCTTCCTGGGCAGCCTTGCAGGGAACATGGACTAGGTGTTGGTGGAAAAGCTGATGTCTGCCAAATGCCTTTCCCCATACATCCAACCTGCAGGTGCCACTCACACACACACACACACACACACACACACACACTCACACACACACACTCACACACACACACTCACACACACACCACACACACTCACACACACTCACACACACACACAATCACACACAGCACACACACACAGCACACACACACACTCACTCACACACACAGTCACACACACACACACACACACACACACACCAGCACTGAGGTTCTGTTTCAGTTTCCCCCATCCTCCTGAGTCCTGGGGACTCCCTTAGGAAAAATCAGGGATCATGGCAGAAACCTTAACACCATCAACAACTCGAATCAATGATCGGGCTTCCTCACCTGAGACATTTATTTCCAAGGGGTCACTGGGTTCTGACCACACCTGGGGGCTGGCCACATGATAGCCGTAACATATGAATGTCCACCTCTGGCTGGAGTTCACAGGGGCCACAGGAAACAAGCCCTGGAATTGCCCAGTAGAGTTCATAAACACTGAGTCCAGGATCAAGGAAGGCTTCTGTTCTCCTTCCTTAGTGAGGACAAACCTGCTAAATCCCAGCTGTGAGCCACACTGAAGGGTAACAGTCTCTCCTGAGGTCACCACAGTTCTGGCCTGGACAGAGAGGCTGGGTTTACTATAGAATCCTAGGAGAGAAAGTAGTAACATGTTAAGTGGGTTTACAGAGCCCATGGTGCCTTCCAGTGTTGGGCTGTAAGACCAGGAAACTCCTGGAAAGAAAACAGACCCCTTTTCTTGGGGCAGAGCATGTGGCTGGGTGTTCTCACCTGTCACTACCAGCTCCAGAGGGTCACTGTGCTCTGACCACCCAGCAGGGGTCTTATAGTAACATCGATACCTCCCTCCATGTTGTTGTTCAATTGATGGGATCAAGAACTCAGCCTTGTTTGTGGCCTCGAGTGTGTTCTTTGTGCGCCAGGGATGTGGACCCCCCTCTTTGTAAAGACGGAATTCCCGGGCTCCTGTGGTCACCTCACATGAGATGGTTACCTGCTTCCCTCTGGCAACCACTGATCCTGACTGAACGCTGAGGGTTGGCTTGGGGGGATTCCCTGAAAAGAAATGAGGGGCTCTGTGATAGGACATTCCCCCTCTGATGTCAGCCTTCATTTCCAGCACCTCTACACACACACACACACACACACACACCGCCTCCCCCATCGCCCGATGTTCTCAAGCCCCACTGATCATGGGTATCTTCAAGTCCCCAGTGATGACCGATCTGGAACAGCTGCACACACACTCACCTGCCAACACTAGAGTCTGTCTGCCCAGGCACAGCCCTAGAAGAGAGTCCCTTGTCAGAACTTGTCCCCTATTGCCAGCATAAATAAGCCTTCCCTTCGCTGAAACCACTTAAACACCTTGGAGTTTCCTGATTGGCTGGAGCCTGGCTGTGTGGACCATAATCCCCTTCTCTTCTTCAAATCTTACCCAGATAGAGCAGGACTGTGAAGACGAAGGTCATGGCTCCTTCTCTCAGTGGCTGTAACTGTATTTATGGAAGACACCACGGACGGAGTCTGGCCACATAGCCAAACAGCACGGAGTATGAGACCTTTAGAGAGAAACTGCGTGCCTGGCATCACATGGTTATTTCTCCAGAATACACATGGGAAGTGGAACAGCCCTCCCTAGCCGACTGCCTCTCATTTCCCTAGGGCTGTGGCTTGGATGCACTCCAGAACTTCTTCCCTAACCTATCTCACTCAGAAAGTAGCAGCAAACAGACTTGTTGCCTCCCTTTGCTGGGCCCCCTTGCACTTGAGGATGAAAACTGATCCTTCTCTCTTAAAAACTCTCCATGGAGAGTCCGCTCTTCCAGTTCACCCGTCTGCATAGCGAAGATGGGGTCCTGACTGAGATCAGTCATCTCCTAGCCCTAAAAAGATACAGGGTGATGTTGCAGCGTGAATGCAGAGTAGCCGGCACACTGAGCACCCAGCTGTGCCCTGCACATCAAGCTTCACGCTGAGGATGGGCACAAAGGAGAACACAGGGAAATGGAGAAGGAAGTACAGCTATTCTCGTGGTTCTGGGCGTGGGTTCCTGTAACGAACGGGCCCCTGCATGGAATACCCTCTTCTTGTCTTAGCAGCAGCAAACACACCCAGCTCGGCGGGAACAGAGCTGTTCGTGCCTCCTCACTGTTATAACAGTTCCTTAATGCCTGCCTATTACTGCCAGTGACTGTTGGAACACTGGCGTCTCATTTCAGAGGTTCCTCCTTTGGAACCTGCTGTAAGCACTTCGCTGTTCAGATTGTTCGTGGTGCCGTGCTGTCTGGGGCATTGAGAAATCAGCCGTCACCGTTTTCCTGCCCAGGGTACCACATGAGTTAGGGACATGCACAATTTAGATGCTCACTAATGTGTGTCTCTCTCTGCTCTGAGTATTTACAGATGGTCCTTTATGATACATGTGAAAACTGTAGAGCATGGTGGTCAGGAAAGAAAAAGAGAAACAGAAGTTCCCTGAATGAAGAATAACCCATTTCACAGAACGCAGCAGGAACAATGAGTGTAGGATCCTCAGAGATCTGTAGCAGAGGATGCTTTCCACGTGATGAAAGTAGAATCAAGGGATCCTGGCACCGTGATGAAAGTAGAATCAAGGGATCCTGGCAAACGCAGGCATCTGTAACTCCCATCTCCCTGTTTGCAGATTGCAGTAATATATTGTTTATGATCTAATGAATCCACTGGAGATCAGCATACAAAGCAAGCCACACTAGTCAGTTATAGAAGCTGAGCAATGATGACACACACCTTTAATCCCAGGACTCAGGAGACAGACGCAGATGGATCTCTGTGAGTCCAAGACCACCCAGTACTGCACGAAAGCGTTTCAATCTAAAAGAGTTCACGCCTTTAATCCCAGCACTAGAGAGGTATATAAGGAAAAAGCAGAGGTTCTCCTATGAGATTTAATTTCCAGACACAGGGAAGACAAGATCTCCATTTCAGCCTTGGTAGAGGTGAGAACTCTCTAGTGGCTGGCCGCTTTGCCTCTCTGATGTTCGATGGTTTTATTAGATCATAAGCAATGTATTGTCACAGCAGATGAGCACTGGGATGTCTAAACTGATTGTCCAGGCCCCGTAGTCAGAACTAAGCTGCCCTTCTATGTAAGTGCACAAGACAGGTCCACTCCAGTATTGTCAACCATGAGCATCTGTGTCATACGAGTCTGACTGTGTCACACTGGAGCCATTGCTGACAGTCACAATTCTAAGAAGATGCCAAGTGTGGAAAAGTAGGTATCAGTGCAAAGCTGGCGTACAGTGTCCCAAGTCTGGGTCATTCCCTGGATCGGACTGGGAGGAACCCTCTGTGGGCAGTCAGGGTCAGGAAGCTGAGATTCCTAACCAGAACACTTACAACAGGGTGTGTCAGGCAAAACAGGGAGCTAGGAGGAGGCAGGTATCATTGTAGTGAGCAGTTGTAGATTGAAGACTACATTCAAAAGTAATTCTGCTTAAGTGAAAGAAGAGGTCATGGCGGAGTGTATGAGTCTGAGAGGGACTACCAGGAAAGAATGACCCTCCTGCACAAGCCAGAGCTCTGGAAACCCTAAGGCTGCAGGACTGAATGTTTTCCACTCTTCCCTCCTCCACAGAGACACGGAGAACCTGTTGGATCTGGGCGGTGGGTAGGTGGGGAGTGTCTGAGAACATCACTTTTCTTTTTTTAATTTTATTTTTATTAGCTTAATTTTAAATAGCTTGCTTCACATGTCAATCCCAGTTCCCTCTCCCTTCCCTCCTCCCGCATCCCCCACCATCACCCCCAGCCTCCCACCCTATCCCCACTTCCTTCCACATAGGGGATATCCAGAGTCTGTCATTTCACTCAGGGTAGGGTCCAGGCACTCCCCTAAGAGTCCAGGCTGAGAGAGCATCCCTCTTCGTGTTATGGACACACGAAGTTCATTTGTGTGCCAGGGATAAACACTGATCCACTGCCCAGGGCCCCATACGTTGCCCAGGTCTCCTCACTGACTCTCACACTCAGGGGGTCTGGATCAGTCCCATGCTGGCCTCCCTGCTGTCAGTCTGGGGTCCAAGAGCTCCCCCTTGTTCAGATCAGCTGTCTCTGCTGGTTTCCCCAGCCCATTCTTTGCCAATTTGCTCATTGCTCCTCTCTCTGTGTCACTGGGTTCCATGGGTTCAGTTCAGTGTTTAACTGTGGGTGTTTGCCTCTGCTTCCATCAGTCACTGGATGAAGGTTCTCATTCCTCTTCTCTGGGGTACCATGCATATCTCTCTTAGGTTCTTCCCTGTTTCCCAGACTCTGTGTCAGTGGAAGTGCAGACTGGCACTCTCCTGATCCATGTCTAAAATCCATATATGAGAGAGTTTGTTGTTTTTATTTATTTTATTTATTTTACTTTTAAATTTAAATTTAAATTAGAAGCAAGGTTGCTTCACATGTCAATTCCAGATCCCTCTCCCTTTCATGTTTCTCTTTTTGTGACTGGGTTGCCTCACTCAGGATGATTTCTTCTAGTGCCATCCATTTGCCTTTGAATTTCAAGATTCCATTGTTTTTTCTGCTGAGTAGTACTCCATTGTGTAAATGTATCACATTTGAGAACATCACTTTTCAATCCCAGAGGATCAAGCCAGCAATTGCTTCATAAATGTGAGCTTCTCTCAACCTTGGTCAGAGAAGCTCTCTTTTGCAGAGGGCTGTCCTGGAACTCACTCTGTAGACCAGGTTGGCCTCGAACTCACAGAGATCCGCCTGCCTCTGCCTCCCGAGTGCTGGGATTAAAGGCGTGAGCCACCAACGCCCGGCCTATTTTTTGTTTTTAATTCCCATGTTAGTGTCACAAAATAAAATGGGCCATGTGAGACTATAACATACAGAATATTTTTCTTTTTTTTTTTTTTTTTTGGTTTTTCGAGACAGGGTTTCTTTGTGGCTTTGAAGAATATTTTTCTTAAAACTTCAAATTCCTTAAGATGACTAAGTTGAATTCTTCTTAGACTATTTAAGACATTTTATATGTTTTTCAAAAACTTCACTTAGGTGTGAAAGGTTTTATAATTAAACACTAAACTTCAGCCAGGCATAATAGTTCAAGCCTTTAATCCCAGCACTTAGTAGTCTAAAGCAGGTAGACTTCTGTGAGTTCAAGGCCAGCCTGGTCTGCACAATGAATTCCAGGCCAGAACACACGATACATATAAAGGCCTTGTCTCAAAAATACAAAACAGAACAAAAAGAACTTTACATCTGTTTTTAAATAAATTTTCCGTCTCTTTAACTGGATGGTAGCCCTTACCCGTGAGGAGAAGGGGACTGGAGGTGAGCTGGGGAGAGATGAGGAGAGACAGGAGGAGGGGTGGGAGGGAGAACTGTGGATGGAATATAAAATAAAATTCAAAAAGAATAGATTAAAATTTGAACTCGTGGCCTCAATGGACTCTTTGGCTTCAGTGTCGTAAGTTTGCACTAGGTATGCATCACCAAGCCTGACTGTGGTTGTCTAATAAATTAAAAAATTTTGTTAACCATACAATATATTTCTGGAACTTACTCAGTTAATACAAAGGGAGCTTTCACACTGTTGTTGGCTACTGAGCAGGTCTGACACTATTGCAGGCCATATTCTGTATTAAAATAGCTTCAAGGCAACTCTCCTGCACAAAGCTAAAACTTGTGTAGAAAGCTCAGCTTGCCCAAAGGCTTCCCTGCCACTCTTTCATGACCTAGACTGAGACAGTGTTCCCGTCTGCGATACTCATGATGCAAGCTGAGCGTCCTTGGAGGCATTTCTGTTTTGGACACAGACCAACTACATTTTTGTTAAATAGCTTCATTTACTTTACAAACGAACCAGAGTTTTCCCTCTATCTTCTCCTCCTATTCCCTTCCCTATTCCCAACCTCCTTTCTACTCCCACCCAATCCACTCCTCAGAAAGGGTAACGCCTGCAATGGGAGTCAACGAAGCATAGCATAGCATTTTGAAGCAGGACCAAGCTCCTCCCCCCTGCATCAAGGCTGAGCAAGGCATTCCACCGATGGGAATAAGTTCCAAAATGTCAGCTCATGTGCCAGGGACAGATCCTAGTCCCACTGCTAGGGGTCTCATCCAAGCTACACAGCTGTTTACCCACGTGCAGAAGCCTTAGGTAGGTCCCATGCAGGCTCTCTAACTGCCAGTCTGGAGTCCATGACCTCTCACAAGCTGTCTATTTCCCCATCATGATCTTGAACCCCTGACTCACAGAATCCCTCCTCCCTCTCTTCATCTGGACTCCCAGATCTTGACGCAGATCTTGACTGTGATCAACAGAGACCATCTTTTTTTCTTTTAATTTTTATTTTAAATTTAAATTTAGATTAGAAACAAGGTTGCTTCACATGTCAATCCCAGGTCCCTCTCCTTTTCCCTCCCTTCCTCCCGTGCCCTCCCACCAATTCCCCCCAATTCCTCCTTTCACCAAGGAGGGTGAGGCCCTCCATGGGTGTGTCCATCGTCTGTCATTTCATCCAGGGCAGGGCCTAGACCCTCCCCCAAGAGTCCAGGGTGAGAGTGCATCTCTCATTGTGGGATGGCACCCAAAGTCCATTTGTATGCCAGGGATAAATAATGATCTACTGCCCAAGGCTCAATAGATTAAATATGCCTCCTCACTGACACCCACATTCAGAGGTTCTTGATCAGTCCCATGATGGATTCCCAGCCATCAATCTGGGATCCAAGAGCTAACCCTTATCATGTCAGCTGTTTCTTGGGGTTAAACCAGCCCAGTCTTAACCCCTTTGCTCATCAGTCCTCCCTCTCTGTTACTGGCTTTCTTGAGTTCAGCTCAATGCTTAGCCATGAGAGTGTGCCTCTTCTTCCATCAGCCACTGAATGAAGGTTCTGTTTCCCAGACTCTCTGGCCATGGGATTGTAGGCTGGCACTCCCCAGATCTATGTCTAAGATCCATATATGAGAGAGTACATGCCATGTTTCTCTTTTAACAGAGACCAGCTTAATGACACCCACTGAACATGTCCACGTGTAGACTCCCTTCAATTATTATTGTGCTGCAAGGTGAATGTATCCCAAAGTGTTTCTGATGACTGTTGCAGGTTTTGATTAGAATGTTCTATCCCATGATCTTCTTGGGCTGCTGAAAATGTATCTACAGTCTTCCCTTATTGTACTTCCTTTCTTGTATTCTCGCCTTACATAGAGAAACTACACACCTCTAAAGACTTTTATGACATAAGTATGTTTGGGCTCCCTGCATAAAATCCCATGCCTCCTTTCTTCAAAAACTCCTTGCTCTCCTCATCCACTATGTGCAATAAGCCCATCTTCACTCTTTCATTTCCCGGATGTGTGTTTCTGGATCTCCACCTAGTAAAAGTGGCTCACTTACAAATCGATGGCTCAGTTCAAATGTTCTGCTGAAAGGCTCATGGGTTTTTGTTACGGACTCCAGCAGGACGAGGCATGAAGAAAGGCATTCTGCCCTTCATTGACACCCTGAACTGATAGAAATGTCTCTCGAGGTGGCATACACTCCAGTTTTGTCCATTAATAAGTTCATATGCTGCCATTTACTTAGGCTGCTGTCATCGCTTGGTGATTGCGGATATGAATTTCACAAGCATGAGCATGCTTGAGATCTTAACATCAGTATGTTTGCCTAGGAACCTAATGAAGAAAGTAAAGAACCTTTAGGTAGCTCCATCTCAAATTTATTTATTTTACTAATTTAGTGACGAGACAAGAAAACTGGATTCCATAGTTTTGTATGTTGATATCACTGTACATTGCTTGTACTCCTCCATTCCGTTATCCGTACTTGCCCTCTCCAGTGTGTGAGTGCCGTTTCCCTGCCTAAAAATAGCCATTGTGCTCTCATTTCCTTCTCTGGCTGTGGTAAGCCTGAAACAGCAGAACTCCAAGAGTCACCAGAACCAAAGAAGCCACAGTGATCCGAATGAGATTCTCCCCACGGTGATCCTGGGGATATGAGCCTGGGAATTGGACAAAAAAAATCACAATAAAGATCAAAGCCAACCTGAACGTCCACACAGGGCACATGCCTCCCACGGACAAGACTCTACCTTCTGTATCTATGTATTTCCGTATCTTGGGAATCTCCTTGTCCAGGTGTTTTGGGGGTCTGACTTATTCTGTAATGGGCTGAGCTGTACTCAGGAAATAAAGAAGCAGAGGAGGATGTTCATACCGAAGATATACAAATGTTCCCCTGGGGTATAGTTTCTTAAGTTTCATCTTCATGACTTAAGGTAGAGTCTTTACTTTTCAAATTTTATGTGCATTGGTGTTTTCCCTGCACGTGTGTCTGTGTGAGGGTGTTTGATCCCCTGGAACTAGAGTTACAGTCGTTTGTGATCCATCATGTGGATGTTGGAAATTGAACTGGATCTTCTGGAAGAACAGCCAGTGCTCTTTTAATTAATTAATTAATTAATTTGTTTTACATACCAACCACAGTTCCCACTACCTCCTCTCCTCCCAGTCCTTCCCCCCCCATTTCCTCCTACGCCCCCCACCCCATCCATTCCTGGTCCATCTCCATTCAGAATGAGTAAAGCCTCCCAGTGGAATCAACAAAATCTGGCACAGGTTCCAAAAAGCCAGCTCATGTGTCAGAGACAGATCCTGGTCCCACTGCCAGGAGCCCCACAAAATACCAAGTTACAACTGTCACCCAAATGCAGAGGGCCTAGTTAGGTCCCCTGCTGGCTCCCTAGCCATCACTCCAGAGTACATGAGCTCCCATAAGCTCAGGTCAGCTGTCTCTGAAGGTTTCCCCATCATGATCCCTCTCTTCCCTCTCTTCCAACGGACACCTGGAGCTTGGAGCTTGTCCCAGTGCTCTTAATTGCTGAGTCATCCTTGCAGCCCCTTAAGGTAGACTTAGTGAGCGCTTTCCCTGACACAGCCAGTTTCCTTCTGATAATTCAGCCTTACTATCCTTTGTGAGTTCTGAACTTGTATCTGGATTTTTAAAATGTATCTGTGCCTCCCAAGAACTCAGGATTGGTGAGAAGTTGTGTCCCCATTCGGAAGCAGCAGCCCCCTCTTATGCTCTCTGTTGATTCTGATCACAGGGTCATGCAAATTAATTTTCACAGAGATGATTTACCACTGACTCACATGCTACAACCCAAAGGCTAATCATCAAGCACGGGTCCTCAGGGACTCTAGCACATCTTCTGTATGTAACAGGAAATGAATTCATATCCTCGCCAGATACCCTGGGACTTCATAATCCTTTGAACCTATCATTAACTTAACATCATAAAGTCTGATTCACAATGTGCTATACAGAGGGATACAGATATACACAGAGTCATGTAAATTCTAAGTGCCGGTATTGCCAATGGGAAATACAACCTGCTTCTATATGTAGAAATGTAAACACCAGAGCTGGAGCAATGGCTTGGTGGTTAAGAGCATTCGCTGTATTTGCAAGAGACCTGAGTTCCATTCCAAGCCTCTACATGATAGCTCAGAACTGTCTACACCTCCAGGCCTAAAGCATATGATACTCTCTTCTGGTGTCTATGCCCACTGAATATGTATGGGAATTGAACCTGAGTCCTCTTGAAGAAGAGTCCTCTTAATCACTGAGTCATTTCTTCAGCCTCAGGTTTTGAAACCTTGAAAACAATAACTTCCTATGTGAGTTAGTTTATGAGATATACATTTTACTATAAAAAATGACCAATCCTATTTTGTTAGGATTAGATGGCATTTATGAATTTATTATAGAGCAAAAATTTGTGTTTGTGCATGTGTATATATGTTTGTGCCTATGTGTGTGTGTGTGTGTGTGTGTGTTTTCATGCGTGCATATGGATGCCAGAGGCCAGCATCCAGTAATCTTATGTCTTCTTCAATTTCTCTCCAACACATTTGAAGGGTGTCTCTCACTGAACTTGAACTTGCTGATTCAGCAAAAGCAGACAACAAGCCAACCCAAGAAATCCTCCTGTCCGTGCCTTTCCAAATCTGTGGTTACAGCTATTCCAAGCCTTTCGTGTTGATACTGGAGATCCTAACTCAGGTTCTCATGCTGAGAAAAGTTCACATTACTTATTGAGTCATCTCCCCAGCTCCAGTTTTAGAAAAGGAAGTCTTGTGGCTGGAGAGATTGCTCAATATTTAAGAGCACTGGCTGCTCTACCAAAGGACCCAGTTCAATTCCCAACACCCACATGATGGCTCACGACTCGCTGTAACTCCAGACTCAGAGTTTCCAGTGTTCTTTTCTGACCTCTATGAGTGCTGTATGTTCAAAGGCGTCTGTAAGTCCAGTCTCAAGGGGATGTTATGCCCTCTTCTGGCCTCTGTGGGCAAAACATACACATTGTGCACAGACTTCATGCAGGCAAAATACCCACACACACAGTTTTGCTTTAAATCATTTGCAAAGGTTTAAAAATTAAAGGAACAAATACACACATGTGTAAACATAAAATATAAAGAAGAAACAGATTGATGTTTGGGTAAAAAAATGTGCTAGGTGGTAATGACCATAGTAACTGCAGAAGTGTCAGTTCTACAGTAAGTATGGAGGCCACAGTGAATTCAAGATGGGCAGAGCAGAGTGGTACCCATAGCGTGGGATGCCTCTCAAAAGCAGCATGTCTTTTTGGAACCTCATTCTCATCCACAATAAGACCTCACTGTGACCTGATCAGCCTCATCTCTTAATCTGAGGGGACTCAGGAGGACATTCCAAGCATGAGTGGGGGGTTGCACCCTCAAAGTCTCTCAGCAGCTGGATAAAAGAGCCACTAAGGCAGTGTCCCTGTGTCCTGCCCTGTTGTCACCCAGTTACCTGTGTTCCCTATCAGCTTCCAGTATCCTCTGAGTAGTGGTCAGACCTAAGCATCACATCTTGATAACATGATGTGTTCCCCTTGCAAAACAAACTGCAGGGATGGTTGGTACCAGTGTGCCATACAGAGTGTTATCTACTAATGCACTCAAGAGTATGGTTTTTTGTGGTGGTGTATTACACATGATTTAATAAAGATTGCCTGAGGATCAGAAAAAGCAAACCTGGCAGCCACTAGTTCTTACCTCTACCTCAGGCTGAAGGGGCCGTCCTGTCCTCAGCATGGTTAAAGACTAATTCTAAGACTGAAATGCCAGCTCTGAAACCCTGCTTCTGTCTACGCCTCTCTAGAGCTGGGATTAATGGCATGAATCCCAAGTGCTGAGATCTCCTTTGTATGAGCTATTTCCTTTTAGACTGGAACAGTTTCATGTAGCTCAGTCTGGGCTTGAACTAACAGAGATCCATCTACCTCTGTCTCATGAGTCCTGGGACTAAAGGCATGTAACATGACCGCCTAGCTTCTACATCTAACTAGCGTGTCTGGCTTTGCATTCTGATACCTCAGGCAGTCTTTATTAAATCATAAATAATATATCACCCCAGTTTTTATGGCACATGAAAGAGGAAGGCTTCTGAATGAGTAGGGGTTTTTTTATAAATCTTTACCATTCCCATAATATTCTGGTTTCCTCTTATCCAGCTGAAACTCAAGACTGATGTAAAATCTCATGTTTCAGCTCAACATCTTCTGTGGTTTTTATCTTTTATTAAAAGATTTGTTTTAATTATTTGTATTGAAGCTGGGTGTCAGGACACATTCCTGTGACCCCAGCACTTGGGAACCAGAGGCAGGTAGATATCTGTGATTTGGAGACCAGCCTGGTCAATATAGTAAATGCTAGGCCAGCCAGAAATACATAGACAGACCCTGTCTCAAAATGAAAATTCTCTATTCTCTCTCTCTCTCTCTCTCTCTCTCTCTCTCTCTCTCTCTCTCTCTCTCTCTCTCTCTCTCTCTCTGTGTGTGTGTGTGTGTGTCTATGTGTGCTGTTGCCATAAGAATGAGGTAGATTCTCTTGAACTAGAGTCACACGCAGTTGAAGCTGCTGAAATTGGATGCTGGGAGCCAAACTGTCATTCTCTTAAAAAAAAAAAAAAAAAAAAAAACAGCGTACACTCTTAACCACTAAGGCGTCTCCCCGGCCCCTGTTTCTTTCACATGTACAGTTCTGACAGAAGCAGAGAGGTCTGGGTCTAGAATGAAGCCCCATCTCAGATGTCTCAAATGGTGGAAAACTGCGTGAAGGTCTCAAAAACTGCTTGAAGACCACATCCAAGCAGTTCCCTTTGCATGGATTTTGAGGTCAACAATGGCAGGAGGGAGAAGGCTTTCTTATCTGTCACCTCCAAGGATGAGGCCAAGAAAACACAGACCAAGTCCCTACATGTCACAAAGAAAGTTGAAATCCCAGGGATCACAGAGAATTCTGACAATGCTGAGCTGCAATTTTGGGTCTTAGACACAAGAGGAGACTGACTGTATCAATTTTGGAAAGGCAGAAAGTGTTTCACATGGCTCCGAGACTAGCAGAGTAAGGTCACTCACTCTCCTAATGACACTGTAGGTCCTGGATCATGGAAAGGGAGAATATAATGGGAAGTATCATAAAGACCAGGACAGGAGAGAGGCTGCTCACCTTTTCCTGAGTTGAGACCTCACCAGGGCCAGTCTCTGAGGACCTATGTCTTTCTATTTTCTCAAACTTAGTCCCTCCCTGTCTCTGTCTCTTCCTCCCTCCATAACACTCCTGTTCCTCATTCTAGTGAGCATCGCCTGGGCTTCCCACTCAGGGCCTGTTTTGAATCTGAGTCTTTGACTAAATTTTCTAGGTTTCTCACTTGTGCTTAGGGTGAGTGTGGGTTCAATTAGGTCCGACCACTCCAAGAAGACTGAATCTGCAACCCATTATCTAGTCCTGGGGGTGAGTCAGGACATTTGAGGACAGTTGAATTCCTTAAACAGAGCACAGCTGATGACAGGGTGTCTCTGTGGGTCTGACTTCTCTCCAGGGTACAGACCCTGATGGGTTGACAGGGAGGGCTTCCTGAACATTGCCAGGGGGAAGATGGGCAGAAAAGAGGTACAAGAGATGCTTG